CGCCTCCCGGGGCCGGCCAAGCGGCGCCTCCTGCGCTGTGCCATAGCCTGCCATGCCACAGCCCGGCCCGACCGGCCTCCGTCTCCCGGTTTCTCCGTTTGTCGTCACCCCCGCGGTGGAAAACAGCTTTAAAAGAGCCCGGTTATTTGCTGCTTCCTCGCTACGCAGCCGGGCCGGCGGCAAAGGCCTGACGTGCCTCTTCCTACGGGAACCGGAGTGTGATGGGGGCAACTGGGACTTGATTTTGGATGCACCGGGATCGCGACCAGGAATTCATTTTTAAATAACCTATGGGCTTTTGAAATTGCTTGGGAAACCGCTTTGATTGGCAAGTCCAAGGAGGAGTACATTACATATTACTGATTACCTTCCCTGGCCTGCAATAGGCTACTGATTATTTTTACTTTCTTATGCATCATGCATGTGAATTGCTCAGCAAGACAATGACAGACTGCCTTATGGCAGTCGTGCTGACTACCTTCACGTGACATATTGTTTCATGGCCATCAAACTACCAAAACATCGTCACTCATTCTCAGGACAGGACTGTCAAGCAGAATGACCGCCTGGCTACCCCGGATTTCATGGGAGGGTTTTTTAGATTAATCCATTTCTGTGATCACTGATGTTAAAATATTATATGAGGAATATACATTTGCTGCTATCAGTTGCTTTACCAGTTACAGCGCTTTTTAAATATTAACGTATTGCATAAGCGGTTGAGGATACAGAGCAGGCACTGCCCAGTGTCTTCCAGGAAAGATGAAACAGATAACACAAAGGCAAGAGTTAATTCAGTGTCGGAGGAACTGGGGCCACATTCAGGCAGAGCAGTGCTTTCTGCCCTGCCTGCAGCCTGCAGCCTGCAGGACAGCATCTCCTCCCAGGAGGAGGCTGCTCATGGGGCGGGTAGCTCCAAGATCTGCATGGGGCTCTAGTATATCCCAGAGAGTTTTCCAACCCTTGTTCACCACCCGAGAGAGGGAAATACTGAGGAAAAACCATCCAAACCCAATCATTTCGGCTTTGTTAACTAACCCGTTTTAACTCCCTGCTGGTTTTAATTTCTGCCAGTGCCCTAGGTGAAGGGACTAGCAAGGTCAGTGACCAAAACATTTCCAGAGTGTTTGTCAGAAATATCTGGGGTAAAAATATTACAAATTCCTAAATATTCACTTTGCAGTGGAAAAGCGATGCTGTGCCGGGAGCAGGAGGAACCAGACTTACGTGTCTACCTGCTTCAGACAGGAACGGGGAGCTGGTCCCGCCACGCTGTGACACAGGAGGTAGGACCAAGCGTGCACCCGCGTACTGAAGTAAATGTCCCTCTTCTTAAAAGACTGTGTGCAGAAACTAATATAAGGAGTGATTCATTTCAATATATTTACCCAGCAGCTTTAGTCCCCAAACAGTAAAACATTATCCCTCAAAGAGAGATAAAGGAGTAAGCTGAGACTCAGAAGGGAGGCTCTTATCTTTGATTTTACATTGATAAAAATAAGCAAAGCTACAAGCTTATTTTACCAGACTTTTAGCAACGGGCTGCCCGTACTCTGGGAAGAACCAGGCCTTTCTTCCTCACCTGCAGGAACTGCCTCCAGGCTTCACGTCCTGCCTTACTCACATGCTGTTGAGAGTTTCACCCAACATCGCGCGGATATCAGGGTAAAAATCAAAGGGTGGGAGAAGGGGCTCTGCACACTGAAACTCCGGGTGCCCGGCTCGCTGGGAGTGGGTGGGAGAGCCCCCGCCGAGCTCTCCACATCAGCTCAGGTGCTGCACGGGGCAGGAGTGCCTCGGGAGGGTGGGGTGTGCCTGCTGCCAGCCAGACGTCCCCAAAACAGTGTTTGGAGACATTTGTCTCGATTCCCGCTGGCGACATAGGTCAGCCGTGTCCCGCTCCCCTCCTGTTTGCTGTTCACTAACATATGTGTGCCCGGTCCTGCTCGTGCAAATATTAGAGGAAAGTTGCCTTTGGTGCTCATGTCCACTGTCACCGGCAAACAGAGGTGGACATGATCACACACCTCTAACTCCTTCCGTAGAGCCAGCACTTCTGATACCTCTGTTAACGGTTTTAGCCTTTCGGGCAGGAGCAGAGAAAATAATGCACAGCTGAGGTGAGCTGTCAAGTACCTCAAATATTAAATCATTATTTTGAACAGGCTTCAAACCCCCTACCCCACGAGCTGAGCACATACAGAAGTATATATTTACAAAAATCTGGATCCATCCACGCATTAATCAGGCTGAGAAGGAAAGGTTGAACTCTCCTGCTAATGCATTCATGGCGGGGCAGCCGCCCTCGGCATGCAGAAGGAGCTGCTGCCGCGAGCAAATGGCCAGGGTCTGCCATGCTGGCAGGGCTGGGGACCCCCCTGTACCACAGCCACCCCACCAGCATGGCTGAAAATGCTGGTTTTGGGGTACACCCTGCAGATGGACTGTCAGGAAGAAAAGTGTTGGGGAGCGGGATGGGCAGAGGGCAGCCAGTGGCCGTGGGGGCGTGCAGGGGGGTCCTGGGCAAAAGGGGAAGGTGTGTTCCCCCCTCACTGCTGCAAGGGTTGGGGCAGGACTGGCTTTCCCGAGTAGCCCAGGAAGGTGTTGCAGTGGGTGGGAGGGAGAGGTGGGGAGCTGGGTTCCCCCTGTCTGTGCACATTTGCTAAAATTTAGTGTAGAGAAAAAAGGGGACAACGGTCCTGTCAAAATTCACATCCTGGTGTCCTTGTTACAACGTTATTTCTTTTCTGAATTTCCTCCTTTAATAATTCTGAAAGTAATTTCTCCTATTCTGTTGTGTGAAAGACCCCGTTTTGGAAGTGATTCTAAGTGATTATTCTGGAGTTTTCTTGCAAATTGGGGACTTTTGATAATAATTAGAGCTCCAAGTTGCTGAAGTGTCTAAATCCTCCTCAGCAGGTAACTTTGCCCCTCCAGGAAGCTGTGCTGGGCGGGAGGAAGAAAGGCTGCCCCTCACGCGGGAGGAACGCGGGGCGCCCAGGTCAGCTGGGGCAGGAGGAAGGGCACCCTCCGAGGGGTGTCACCCCAAGGTCGTTGGGCTGTGAGGACACAGGAAAGTTAGGCGCTTCGTATTTCTTTGGCCTTAGTCAGGTATGAAAGGAAAGGATTCAGGAAGCTTAAACCAAATGCTGCTGTAAATCTGTTTGCTCCAGCAGAAGTGTGCGGTGTGAGTGTGTTGGTGTCTGGGACCTGCAGGAGCGAAGTGTATTCAGTGCATTAATGCCACACTTGGGGTCCCTCACCCCTCCCTACTCCCACCGCAGCACATGGGACCTGCTGGTACAGATTTCTGCGGGACAGGCGGTCAGTGAAGCTTCTGCCTCACAGCAGACACCAGTGCAGGTACGTGCCCTGTCTGAGTCCGAGGCTGGAGGTTTCACTCCGGGTACCCCAGCAGGCCTAGGCACCGTTTGTCTGCCACTTGGTTTTGGTTTTATTTTCCAAACTTCCTTTCATGGCTCCAGGACCAAAAAAAAAGGGAATCTCAGGAGCCCGTGTCAGGTGTCCGGAAGGTCCCTGTGCCCCGCGGGGAGGTGGGGTCTGGGGGTGATCCCACACCATGGCGGCGGCCCCAAACATCCCAGCGCTTTGCCGACAACTTGACAAATTTAGTTTAACTATTTTGATGTAATAATGTAATTAGGTAAAAGGGTTCAGCAGCCGATTGCGTTTCACTGATTTCAACCATCTGCTTCAACATTTGTTCTTATGTGTACCAGATTTCAGAGTGCCTTTGCTCTAATAGTAATTAATGAAACTGTTAATAAGCTACATATATCATATTATGCTGCAATAATTTATCAAAGGATAATGTTATGAGACAAATTATATATAACAATTATAGAAAATGGCTTACATTACTAAATGTTGCACACTGCTAGCTAGTTTCTTTACTCTTCTCTTCTTAATGAATTCCCTAATTAATTTAATGCATACTTTATGCGTAATTTGAAATTTAAAAACATTGCTGGGTCAGGTTTTAACCATCCTCTTTTACATGCTGTCTGCTTCTACAAGACACATATTAGCAAAACATGACCTCTATGCAAATTACCGAGCCGCACTGCTGTTTCCATTCCTGGTCCCGGCGAAGGCTCTCCGGCACGCTCCCCTCGCACACAGGCACCCCGGCCGCCTCACTGGCGGCCTCCTGCCCCTCACGAGAGCCACAGTGGATCTAGGTCACTGTTTAGAACAAAGAATAAACCTAAAAGGCTATTCTAATCTTTGATTACGTAACCAGCTCCATTTTGGGGAAAGCTGCTCTCCATCATACTTCGTGCCATCTAAAAATAGAGCTTTGCCGCCATCGTGCACCAAAAAGCACCCCGCCCCCAGAATAATGAGGTCAGCTGAAAAATTGGGAACCTTTCAAAATAGAAATGAAAACTTTAGTTTCCTTATCTCCAGATTTTTAAGCGTCCAACACACAATTGCCCAGCATCTCCGTTTTCTACATCTACAGCTTCGCAGTCTTCCTGCAAAACACGACCATAAACTTTTCTTTCAAAGTCAAAGTTTCCATTCTCGTCTGACTGTATAATTGCTGTGTGTGGAGCCTTCAGGAAGATCCCCGAATACCCTGGCAGTGCAGATGAACTGCCAGGGGATTCTAAATTCAGAGTTTGCTAAGTTTTTACAGACTGAATTTCTGGAGTCAGAGAAATAAGATATCCCACTGCGAAGGGATCACGGCCTGCTGGTGTGGATTCCCTTGTGTCTTCTCCTTCTCCCTCTGTGGGGGCTGAGCTGGGGCTTGCTTTCCTCCACTTCATGTCCTCAAGTCATGTATCTTTCTGTCAAATTCAATTAAAGTTAATTAGCAGAGTCAAAAGCCAGCAGGACCTCGGAGAGGACACACAGACAGAGAGAGAATGAGATTTATCATGTTACTCATATTTAATATAATTAGTATCTTATGGAACTTAATGAACAAATCATTCACCAGTAATTCCCCACTATTCTAGTAGTTTATTAACATTTGGTAGGTGTGGTGCATTCCAGAAACGAAAACACGATTCGTAGCTGGGAAGGTGTATGAAGATGCGGTGTGGGCTAGACGGGAAGAGCCAGCACGCTCCGGCAGCGCCCACATTTGAGATGCCCGGGCTGCTGGGAGGGAGGAGGGAAGGGCTTGTTTCGGGGCCTGCTGAGGAGCTCTCACAGCTCCACGAGGAGCCAAGCAGCACAGTCGCAGCCGAGGCCCAGGTTCTGTGGGCAGGAGTCCTCCCCTGCCTCCTGCCACAGCCACCAGCTGGCCCAGCTATAGGGTGACCGGCCCCACGACGTTTTAACCCCCTCGCTACGACCGACACCTCAGTGCCCGCAGTGCACGGCAGTGCGCTGGGCTGCTTACCTGCAAGAGCCCATGCAGGTGTTCTCTGTGCTCTCCTCTCCCCTCCTCAGTCGTTTTTCCATCAGGATTTCTCAGTTTGTACCTTTTGCTTTCATTAAGGAGCATTTGCCAGATTTTGCCTGAACATCACGCCAGCCTGCAGGAAGCTTGGCGCTTCTGTGCTCAGGAGGGAAGCGTTAAACTTACTGAAAAGTCAGATAAGGAAGATCTAAAATCCTGAGATGTATTTCATTTAAAATAGCTTATGTTACTGTGGGCAGCCCTCAGCAATGGAGCAGCCTGAGCTACCACAGCCGTGAGCAGACGTCACGCTGCCAAAACCCCCCCGGCCCCGGACAGCCGCAGGGACACAGCTTCAGGCCTGGCACCGTGGGGACGTCACCCGTCAGGGCTCACAGAACTGAGCAGTGACACCTCAGAACCGAGCAGTCACACCTCAGTGGTGTGTGTGGCTGTTCCCCTGGCAAAACGTGGCCACGTGTGTGGCTGAATGACAGCAAAGAACGGTGTCCTGGTCTTCTGGCAGGTTACTGCAGGTTCAATATTGATCTCTTCTAGCGTCACCATTGCTGTATTTGCAGGTTAAATTTTATACACGTAAATACATATACCAGTTTCTGAGTAAGATCCTTAATTGTTAAGTCTTTCCTTCTGTTTGCTTTCACCCTTAAATATATCTTCTTTGCTGCTGTCCCCTTCCATGCACGGAGCAGGTTTCTTTAAACAAATGTCTTGTTCAACCTGATTTGCTGAATGCGGTGCCCGTGTCCATACCCATGGTGGTTCCTGTGGAGAGCACACTGTGGTGCTCTAGGATGGAGGAGCAATTGGGGAATCGGGTAATTAAATGTAGCAGGTCCTCCCTTGTGGGAAGAGGAAGAGCTTGATGGCTTTTTGCGCAACCTGTTTGCACTATTTTCAGCTCTTTTCAGCCAAAAGGGCCCTTGTCCTCTGCACGGTAGGGTCAGCCACACGTGTCTAATCTTGCGCTCCGTGGATCCCTGTCTGACTCTGCACCGCCCCTTATGCTCCAGGATAGAAATACAATCTATCAAGCCAGCCAGGATTAAGCAAGAGATCATTCCTTCACGACTTCTTATTGGACAGCATTTTTTTTACATTAGTATATTTTATACAGAAACCCAGAGTGGCTTATTATAATGTTACCTCATCTTCTGGGACACTTCTGGCTGGAAAAAATGTTGAGTCTTCATCTTCAAGTCAGCTTGCTTCCATGCATTTCCATCCAACACTTCAGATTATTTTAATGATGGAGTAGCCTTGATTGAATTAATTTCTCCCTACAAAAGCAGCTGTCTTGTGTCAAGGAATCTGTTCAGCTATCTGGAACATTCATTCTTGCCAAGGAGAAGAGCCAAAGCGCAGAGTTAGCAGCAGGAATGCCTGACCATACCAAAACAGCCATGACTTTGTCATCACTCGTAAGCGCAAGGCCAAAGCTTAGGGGAAGGTCTCGGGTCTCTCTCCCGGCCCGGCGCAGAGCTGGGCCTTGCCGGCCCCGTGCCCACGTTTAGGAAGAGGCAGGCTGGGCACCCGCCCAGTGCCCCCGCACACAGCCCGGAGGGTTGGCATGGGCCCAGCACCCGAAGTGCAGCCCTGGGGTGCGCTGGCCCGGTCCCAGCACTGGGGACCCCGGCCCTGCCGGCACAGCGCGGGAACAAAACCCAGATGAAAATGAAAAACCAGGGCCAGTGCGGCCAATGAGCCCACAGTCCATGGTTTATCTTAAACTTTTATTTCTAAACCAAATGTATTATTTCAAGTTTTATCTTAACTTACTCTCCAACAGATACTCATTTTTTTCCCCTTCTAACAGTCCTTTTGTGCTCTTACCCTTCACTCTTACTGGAAGTCCTGAGGCGTGCACCATCCACACACGCAAATCCTGCTGACAGAACTGCCGTTTGTTTCTTTTGTTTTCGATCTCGTAATACCACCATAGGCTGGGCTTTGAAATTATGTTCTTTTAAAGTATGAATGTGAACATCATCTTTTTCCACTCGTTTCTTTTCAGTATTCATATGCACTGCAGTGGGTTGGAGCCCGTTCTTTAAAAAAATCCGCTTGGTGATTTGGGATTACATGCATTGCTTTTAAATTTATTAATGCCAGAGTTTGAGAGAGAGCTGCAAACTACTAACCCTACATTTACTGTACTAGTGTACAGTATTATCCTCACATTTACATGTACTACTGACTACATTTACTAGTATCCAGGGTTAATAGCTGTGCCGGTAACTAGAGTTACCACACATAGGGGGATATATGATGAGGTTTGGGAGAATTCTTGGTCAAACAAGAATTTGAAGCAAGGCCAAGATGACCTTGCTTAGGGATAAGAAGTTCATCAGCGATAGACTTTGATCCCAAACCCTAGAAAATAAGCCGAATGCCCTGGACCGTCAAGAGAGTGTCTGGAGTTGTGCTCAGGATGAGTCGACAGCCTGGCAAAGGGACTAATTGATTCTCTTGGCAATGAAACTGCGTGTCCCGACAGGGAACTGCCTTCACTGTAATACTAAAAACACACCCACGAGTCAGAAAGCCCCCTGCCCAGTTAAGACCCTTCTCCTGAGCATGTGTAGGAGTAGAAGCATTGTGTGAGCGTCTTACCGGTGCATGTTAATCACTGACCGGTCAGTGTCTAATAGGCGTGTTTGGAAAAGCACTAACCTTGGAGTTTTGTGTGTAAAATAAGCACGGAAACCTGCCGTTGGGGTGCTTGATTTGTGGAAAAGTCCCCCGAGCACGCAGGCCTGAATAAGTCTAGTGTCTGTCCTGAGCGCGGTGAGATTGGGGCGTTGCACGCGGGCGCGACACCACTTTCCGCAGCGCGGTGGCACGGGGCAGCGAGTCTCCGGGCGGGCAGTGGGACGGTGCCGGCTGGTGCTGGGGCCTCTGTTCCAAGGCTCCTGGCAGCCGTGGGGTGACAGAGCTCCCCCGAGCCCAGGCTCGGCTCAGTGGGTGCAATCCAGTCATGGGGGTCCTGTGCGACTGTCCCAGCACGCCAAGCTCGCTGTGACCAACCCCCTTCACCCTCTATCTCCCCACTACCCTCCCAGATATCCAAATTCCCAACCAAATGCCCTAATACCATCCCAAATACATCTCCCACGTAACCAAATGCCCTTCCAGATGCCCAAATACATCTCCTAAATACCCAAATACCTTCCCAAATAGGCTCCCAGATACCCCAATACATCTCCCAAATACCATCCCAAACGCCCAAATACCATCCCAAACGCCCAAATACCACCCCAAATGCCCAGATACCCTCCCATTTACCCAATATCCTCCCAAATATCGAAATACCCTCCCAAGCACGCAGACGCCCTCCCGAACACCCTCTCTGCAGCGCAGCTTCTGCTGACGAACCGCGCACAGCCGGTCACCCCGACACCGGGGGACAGGGGGGACACCGGGGGCCAGCGACCCCCGCCGTC